AACTATACCATAACACATTTTACTACCAATTTTTTTTAATCAAAGAACGTTACATAACTTCTTTCTTTCTTTTTTTTAGTAACACTATTATATTATAAATATTAGTCACTATATTCATTTAAACCTGAATGCTTTTTAGGTAACCAGACTTGCAGAACAACTAAATAAAGCCGACTCACTTCAGGAAGAAATTAATACTTGTTTAAATGGTGTTGAGGCTCGTCAACAAGAGCTTGAAAAAGTTTTGACAGAGTATGAAGAAAAATTTGGTGATCCTAGTTTGGAGGCAATGAACCCATTAGATAAAGAAAGAGAAAAAACGTAAGCCTTTGTTATTTGAAATTATTAATAATTATTTATAAATTTAATTTAATTGAGTGATTACATTCTATTAATAATACAGTTACGAATTAGCAGAATCTATTAATCAAGAGCTTGATAATATGAGTCAGATTTTGTCTGCTATGATCACCGATATGAATCGTAGCACAACATCATCTACTATTACCTCTGCACCAACAGAAGATGAAGATGAAGAGGTAATAAATGAAGTGGGTGATGATCCGGTAAGTTTCATGAAACCATGTTACTACTGCCCAGTGTTTAATAAAATATTAAAGTCTAGTAATTTTGAGTTGGTACGTAACATATGTGATTATTTTCTAATTTTTATCATCAAATTAATTTTCAGATCGATGAAGTTGTCAAAATCCTCAATTCGCATTTGACATCTCTGCAATGGATTGACGCGACAGCCAACCAGCTTAGTGCACGTGTTCAAGAAGCTCAATCCTTCCTAGATCACGCATCAAGTAAAACACAAGAAATAAGATCGGATCGATCCTAAAGTAGTGATTGTAGTCGATTAAAAACTTGTAAGCTTTGTCGAGTCGATTAATTTTGATACAATTAAATCGGCTTAGTCGGGTTTTATCTCAAAAAAATCTGTCATTAATAATCCATAATATCCATAATACGGGAGCTCTCACTAGTCACACACTTATTTTTTATTTTACATTAAAAAAAAAAAAGATAAAATGTTGTTGAATAATGTTCCCGAAGTCAAAAAGAAAAAAACGATAAACATCGTTGCGTAATGCATCCGAAGTAAAAAAAAAAAAAAGAAAGAAAGAAGTTATGTAACGTTCTTTGATTAAAAAAAATTGGTAGTAAAATGTGTTATGGTATAGTT